ATATCAAGGACTGAAAATAAAATTACTGAAAAGAAAATTAAAGGCTAATTTACCTCATGAACACAGAAACAAAGTCCCAAATAAAAGCATTAGTAAATAAGGTGCAGTAGCATAAGAAAGGGTACTACATCAAGAACCCGGGCTTGTGTTATTCATTATATGCAAAAATGAATTCATATTAAGAAATTCATTGATGGAATTTGCTACATAAAGAGAATAAAGAAGGATAGAGGTAAAAAATATTAATATTTAATACACATTCCCAATATAAACAATAAACTGAAATTACTTAAAAATTATTGTAATTACTGTTCAGATTATACAATATAGTATAATATTAACGTGTACTCCCAGAATTAAAATAAAGAGGTTCATTCTCACCACTTTTATTTAACATTCTCCTCCTTCCAGTGCCAGTGCACTAAAACATAATCATCATCATCATCATCACAAAATGCATAGGGATTACAGTTATTTTCCATAAATTATTTTGTTTTTATGCAAATTACGTGAAGTAAACTATATATGAACTATTAGAATCAACAAATAAGTTTGGCAAGATCACCAGATATAGGGCCACTATGCATAATGCACTTCTAAGTGCTACAGCAAACAATTGGAAAATAAAAATTTTTTAAAGAGATACTTGTACCTTAGCACTGGACTTACAGCTCCAGTTAAGATGGAGTATACACAATCCACCTTGTCAACCCTACTGAAATCACCAAAAATCATAGACATAATACATAAACCAGCAACCTAAAAACTGTGAAAATTAAATAAGGACTTTTAGTTTCCAGACAAAATGAAATAAGCACATTTTACTCTAATTCTGAAAATTACGTACAGCTAAAACTTTGGGTCAAATATAGTTATTTGACAACTCTGAAAAATAAGAAAATAGAGTGGACCATCTAAAAATCTCAGGACTCAAGGGAAGGCCTGGCAATTAATTGCTAAGATTTTGGGGGGGATCCTATATGTCCTAGTTCAGACACAACAGTAACCCGCACCCTGGAAATGCCAACTGACACAGAAAAGAAAAAATGTCTCAAGAAAAGTCTGGTTTCATTCCCACCAAAAATGAAACCTGGTCCCCTGTCCTCCACATCCTCGTCAGTACTTATTGTTTGCTGATTTCTTGATGGCATGGTGGAATACAGTATGGAATATCCTCAAAAAACTAAAAATAGAACAACCTTTGGACACAGCAATTCCAATGCAAGAACATACCCTAAGAATCCCAAAACACCAATGCAAAAGAAATTATGCACTCCAATGTTTATAGCAGCACTATTTACAATAGCCAAGTGCTGAACACAGCCTAAATTCTCATCAGTAGATGAGTGGATCAAAAAACCATGGTACATTTACACAATGGAATATCACACAGCAGAAAGAAAGAAGGAGCTCCTACCCTTCGCGACAGCATGGATGGAACTGGAGAGTATTATGCTAGGTGAAATAAGCCAGTCGGTGAAAGACAAATACCATATGATCCCACCTACAAGAGGAATCTAATGAATGAAATGCTCTAATGAGCAAAATAGAACCAGAGGCATGGAATCATGGAATAGACTGACAGTGGTAAGAGATGAGGAGGCAAGTGGTGACTGTGTGAAAGTGGGTGAAGGGATTAGTCAAAGAACATATATGAGGACTCATGGAAATGGACAACAGTGGAGGGATTGACTATGAAAGTGAGGGACAGGCTAGATGGAGAGCAGTAAAGGGGGATGGAAATTGAGATAATTGTAACAGCATAAACAATAATTTTCTTTAGAGAAAGAAGAAAATGTCTGTTTTATCTAGCCAAAGAAACAGGAGGAAGAAATCATTATAGGACTTTTGACTGCACTCACTCTCCTCAGCAGAAACACCACCAATCAGTCTGTACCCTGCAGGTCCTCCCCATTCCTGGCCCCTACTCCAGGTGCTGTGGAGACAGTAGAGCAGAGCCCTATTGATCCTCTAAGTGAAACTTCTACTCTTCACCTAGTGCTGCAGAACCTAGAGGGCAGGGCCATGTTATCCAACCCCACTCTGTACTCACAAAATGACAACCAAAAGGCAGCACCTACCTAATCTCCTCCAGGCTAGAGAGTGGCAGGAGAGAAGAGTAGATTACAGAAAGAGTGAAATGAAGAAAGGGATTGTTTAAATCTGTATATGAATTCACACACCCCCAAGCAGATATGGGTGAAAAGAAAATCAACAAAGCAAAAGTTTTGAAAGCTGAAATATGTGGGATACTATCCAAGTTTCAAATTGGCTTCTGACTAGTGTAAAAACAGAATAAAACAGAGTGAATGTGCAAAGATTTTCAAACACTAAATTGACATTTGAACCAAAGCCCACAAACATGGTCCAGGATGTGTGCTCTAAACCCGAATAAGTTGTCTGCTAAAATAGAATATTTAAGCAGGGGCCTGAATTTCATAACCCAATACTGAAAATGTCTGGGACATAATCCAAAATCACTCATCATATGAAGGAAAATATATGAGAAGATATGAAAAGGTAGGAGATTTTCAAATGAGAAGGGGTAATCAGTAGATGACAACACCAAAATAGACCAGTTCCTTGAATTATTCAACAAGGATTTGAAACTAGACTTCATACAAAAGAATCAAGAGCAGTTATAACATTCTTAAAACAAATGGGCAATTAGAAACTCTTAGCAAGAATCTGAAATATTAAAAAACCCAACACTTTCAGAAAGAAAAACACAATGAAAATGCTTTAAAACCTCACTGAATAAGTTCAATGGCATAATAAAGATGACAAAGAAAAGAATCATCAAAGTTAAAGATCTAAGAAAGTGCAAATCAGAACAGAGAAAACAGATTTTTGTGTTTGTGTGTGTGAACTATTTTCATCTTTCCTCTTCTACTCCTTTTTATTTTTAAAAGTTTTATAAGACATTAACAATGTATGATTAGTATTTAGGTAACAATTAAAAAGTAAATAATTTTAACCATATTTAGACAACAAAATTTTTAAATGGAGTATGACTAAGTTTTCCCAGAGATGAAGACAATCACTATTGAAAACTTGTGTCTCATGTTACAGAACAAAAAAACTTTTGTCATACAAAGGTTAGCTGAATGAAGTAGAATTAGAGTGTTGCTGGGAATACTATGTGGAAGTTCAACTCTGAGTAGAAAGGTGCATATACATACTAAGTAGTCAAAAGATGATATGCACCAGATTTTAAGCTATTGTCCCAACCTCAAATCTGGGAATCTGCAATCCACGTTTGTGCTTTGTCAGATGTTCTCTATTGGGCTCGGCCAACAAGAGGTGCTAAAGGGGATATGTGCAAAGCTGGTAGAAAAATGAATTTCTTTCTGTGGATCTGCTTCTTCATTGGAGAAGCAGCGGTTCCTTACCAGAGCAGCAATTGAACCTAGCTGCAATTTTTCCAACATGCTTCTGCTTTAGTCTTTTACTGTGTACCCTCTCAAACTTTACAGTATGAGACCTCTTCCCATTATCTCACTTCTTTTTCTTTTTTTAAGATTTTATTTATTTATCTTTAGAAGGGAAGGAGAGAGGGAAGGGAAGGAGAGAGGGAGAGAAACATCACTGTATGGTTGCCTTTTGTGTGTCCCCTGCTGGGAACTGGCCTGCAGGGAACCGGCCTGCAACCCAGGCATGTGCCCTGACTGGGAATCGAACCGCGATTGTCTGGTTCGCAGGCCCGCGCTCAATCCACTGAGCTACACCAGGCCAGGGCTCCATTATCTCACTTCTTTATACTTCTCACACCTCCAATCTCCTTTCTTTTTTTTAAATTAATTTATTGTTGTTCAGTGATTTTTTTCTCTTTTCTATCTTTCACCGGTGTCATTTTAAATTATATGAATTTGTAATAGTTTCCCGTATGTGTTCCCTGTGTATTTATAATGATGCTACTAATACAATGTTACTTAGTAACTACTTTTTAAAGTTATGTAATGGAAAAATGTCTTTTCCCTTAGACATTGGTAATAATACAATGGAACTACCGTTTATCCTTTTAAAATGCCAGCAGAAAGACTATTTTTATATACCTTTGTATAATAATGATGACCAGATACTCAATAGTGTAATATTCTGAATTGTTCATACTGTGTGTATTAACCATATCAGTGAGATGTGATTTCTGTAAATGAATCCAGCATTGCAGCCTGCCTCAGTGGAGGTAATTTTTAAAAGAGATATGAATTCTTAAATATGCAAATATACTGAAACAAGGTTTACTCCTCATGAATATGTGCATCTGAGTAAGATAATTAGACATTTGAATTTAGTATCTAAATGTCATGTTTCATTAGTCACAAACATTATGAGAAGGGGCTTTAATGGTATCGATGCTGTCATCACACCACATAGGGCTGCATGTGCAGTCGTGCCGGCCTCAAAGACTTCAGCAACAGAGCTAAGATCTTCACTGATCATCTCCACATCGCTTTGAACATTATTTTCTCTCTTTTACTCCCCACACAAGCCACAAAACGATGACAGGTTGATATAAAATGTAAGAATCAGATTGGGATGGATGCCACAAAGGTAGCATAATTTAAATCTCAAAGATTATGCAAGAATATGAGGCATTTTGCTATTGTTCATTTTATTTTATTTTCAGTTAATGGCTTATTTTTTAAATAAACTTTTTAATTTTATTATATTTAATGGGTTGACATTAGATAATAAGATTACATAAGTTTGACCTGTATATTTCTGTGCTACATGATCTGTATAATGCATTGTGTACCCACCACCCAGAGTCATATCATGACACCTTCAAAGAAAGGATAAATTTCATTCTCAAAAAACATGAAAGTATAAAATTTTTAATCAACCAAAGAGTAAAAATAAAATTATTTATCTTTAAAGTTATTATTTACTCCTGAGACTTGTGTAGGACAAACAGAAATGGCCATCTAAACTGCAGAATTGCAGCCCTCTCACCTTGTGGAAGTCCCAACAGGCAAAACCACACACAGGCAAAAAGCAGGCTGCTGGGAGCTGACTTACAGGGCATATCTCACTCAGCGGTAGCCTTCGGTCTTCTTTCTCTGTGTAGATGAAGATTGAGGTTAGACAATGAAATAGAAATGTATAGAGACTGAACTGGAACAAAAATATAGAAGTGCATAAGTGCACTGTGACCAATTAATTCACTTTCCAGTGTGTCAGAAACCATTTGCCTAAAACCCTTTACTTACACTGATGGTCCCAGAGTAAAAAAAAAAAAATTATTTTATTGTGCTATCCTTCCCCAAAGGTTATGTGAATGATGAGATACCAACAAACAAATTAGCCAACCGCCAAAATTAAAACTATGCAGAGACCTAAGAACCGTATATGAGTATTCTGGTAAGAAATTATAAGGAAAGAAAGATTGAGGGTAACAGAATATAGTTCTTAGTCAGAATAACTTTGATTCTTATGAAGTAGTTCTGCTGAAATCCATCTCTAATACACGTATTCAGGCTCTCAAGGGTCTGTGTCACAGGGCCAAGTAATCTTTCCTTTGAGATCTTGAGACACTAGAATCTCGCTCTTAACATGCATATGTTGCCCTTTGGAGTTTTCATTGTACTAAAGAAACTTCTTTGAGAACACCCACTATGAGAGTCTTAGAGTTTGTTTCATTCCCTGGAGGCCTCTGAGTTCATTTTTAAAAAATCAAAGTCATTTAGTTTGTCAAAGGTCCTCAGGGTGAAAATTAGCTTCAATTCTCTGCTTGCCGCCCTTGGTCCTTCCCTAATTTAGTCTTTATTTAGCTTGTGTATTCCTTCCTAATTCTTAGAAGCATTCATGAATATGTTTTATTTATATCTGATCTAGAATGGAGTACTATTTTTATTTTAAAAGAATGTCTTTACATTATAAATAAAAATTAAATCATGTTCAAGTCTAAAATAAGCAGTCGAAGTTGTAGTCCTTGATCTCTCCCTGGTTCCATTCCCAGAAATACAGTCAACCCATAAATAACATGGGGTTAGGGATGCTGACCCCTCCTGACAGTTGAAAAATCTTCATATAACTTTGATTCCCCCAAAACCCAGTTATCTCTTGGTTACTGCAGGGGATTGGTTTCAGGACCCCTGCAGACACCCAAGCCCACCAATTCTCAAGTTCCCAACAGAGAATGGCATAAATCTATGCATTCAGTTGGACCTCTATAACCATGGACTCCCAGCCAGGAATCAAAAACAGTGGTAGTTACTAAAAATAAGTCTGGGTACAAGTGGGTCCATGCAATTCAAAGTGCTGCTGTCAGAATGTCAACCGTAATTTCATGTAATGGTATTTGGGGCTTTAGGGATTTTTTTGTATTTACCATTACAAATTTAACATAAAGTCTTACACTGTAATTTCTTAATTTTTTGACATCTGTTGACTCTGGATGATGAAATAAGAAATTTGAAACATGTTACTGCCTTACAAACTTTCACCTCTTGGTTCTATTATTTTATTACTGACATTAAGATTTCTAACATTTATATTTTTATTTCATAATTAAGTTACTGCAAATTGCATAGGTTTATTTAAAAATCAACCAACAATATTCAAACAGGACTAGCCTATCATGATTATTCCCTACTAAACCAACAAGTGTGGCCAAACACAAAGAGAAGTGGAATTCTGTCACCAAACCCCTAACCCTGGAAGGATGTCTAAAGGAGGAGCAAAAAATGCTATCTGTATTCATTTGTTTTCACTTTTCTTTACTTCATCTAGGAAACCCTCAGTTTTTATTCTTCTTGAGGTTTATGATACCTTTCTCTCATTTCCCTTTTTTTCATTTTGCTAGAACATCTTCACCTAGGTGGATATAGAAGTATGAAATTTTCTGAGCTCCTCATGTCAGAAAATTATTTTCTTGATTTGTTTAATTAAAATGTTGGATAGAGGCAAAATTATTTTCTCCCAGAAATTTGAGAAGACGTCGTTCCATCATCCCATAGCTCTGGTATGTGAGTGCTGCGGAGAAACTGCTGGTATTGGTTACGTTCCTCGTCCCTCTGTAGGCGACCCCATTACTTCTCTCTTTTTAAGCTTCAAGGGTATTTTTTTTATTTCCAGGCTTCTGAAAACGCAAAAGAATGTGAAAAAGTATGTCTTTGAAAGTTCATTCTTTTTGGTATTTTGTTCAGCTCTTCTAGTTGAAGGTTTATGTCTTTATTCAGGTCAGGATACAATGTTTTTTAGTCAAACACTCCCAACCTCTATGTCAGCATTCTGCTTCTGCAATGCCTAGTAAACAGATGTTTGGCTTGTGGTTAGCCTTCATTTATCATATTTTCAATCTCTTTGTCTTTTTATATTCGACTAATGCTTATGCTGTAAATTTTCATTTTGTTCATTGGAAATTTGTAAAAGGAAGGGGTTGAACATGTGTGGTCTATATTTTGTATAAAAAGAGAAATCTGCACTTTTAAATATTTTTTATGTAAAATGTTGAAAATTAAACTATATGTCCTTCTTTAAAATGGCAGCATATCCATATATATAAATTCTAAGAAAGTGGGGAGTAATTTTTCTAATATTTTTATTTGACTGAAAATTATAAAATTGATTCCATTATTGCATAAGACTGACATCAATTTGGATCTGAGATCAATAATTTGGATGTTTATTGGATATGTTCCATATACCCACATGCTTGAAGGTTATTTTCATTTGCAGAAGGGATTCAACAACCAAATATTCTGTGTGACTAAACTATTTTGCTTCTTGGGTAAGCAGAGTCTCACCCAATACTTTAAATTGCAAGCGTTTCATGCAAAAAAAAAAAAAAAAAAAAGAACACAATACCAAAAAGGAGTTTCCATATCCAGCTAGAGACAAAGTTAAAAGAGAAAGGTGTGATTTGGAATAATTGTAGAGCAACTCATAGCAGAGCAATTCATCCCTTCAACTCATCCCTTTAAAGCAGATCTCCACAATCTTTCTCACTGCAAACATGAACTGTGACATACACATGTGCATTCCTGCTATTGGTACCCACAAGGGTTTGCATTGTGTTTTCCTAATATCTATAATATTATGATAGAAGTAACTGAATGAATACCAAATATTCCCAAGCTTAAAACTTTATATTACAAATAAATCACTTGTGATATACCTCAGAATGGATTTTAAGGTGTGCATGACTCATTTGACAAACATGATACAACCATAAAATTCCTCAAGAGGAAGAAGTGACATATTAAAAACCACATTTACTTAACAATTATGAGAATCTCTGATATGTCAAAAAAGTGCCAGATAATTTTAAATTCTTTCAAACTTATAGCTACAAAAAAAAAAAAAACTCACAGAACCTGATGCTAACTTTGACCCCATCTATTAGATTCTGGCCACTAATGTCTCAAAAAATAAATAAATAAATCCATTCCTAATTGGCTGTCATCCAATTCATGTAATTCCTATGATTTCCTAGACATTCAAAGCTATATTTTTCTCCTTTAAGAATTTATTTATTTATTTATTTAAATTATTTTATTGTTCAATTACAGCTGTCTGTATTTTCTCCCCATACCTCCCCCTCACCCCCTCCAAACCCACCTCCCTCCTTTGCTTCCACCCTCCCCCTTGGTTTTGTCTATGTGTCCTTTACAGTAGTTCCTGAAAACCCTTCTGTCCACTGTCTCCTCCCCTCTCCTCTGGCTACTGTCAGATTGTTCTTAATTTCAATGACTCTGTTTATATTTTGTTTGTTTTTTCTTTTGTTGATTATGTTGCAAGTAAAGGTGAGATCATATGGTATTTGTCTTTCACCACCTGGCTTATTTCACTTAGCACAATGCTCTCTAGTTCCATCCATTCTGTTCCAAAGGGTATATGCTCCTTCATTCTTTCTGCTGCATAGAATTCCATTGTGTAAATGTACCATAGTTTTTTTATGCACTCATTTGCCGATGGGCGCTTAGGTTGCTTCTAACACTTGGCTATTGTAAATTGTGCTGCTATGAACATTGGGGTGCATAGGTTCTTTTGGATTGGTGTTTCAGGGCTCTTAGAGTATAACAGCAGGGTATTAATCCCAGCAGCATAATTGCTGGGTCAAAAGGCAGTTCTGTTTTTAGTTTTCTGTGGAAATTCCATACTGTTCCCCACAGTGAATGCATCTGTCCACCACTTCTTATATTCTGTTGTGCAGGTGTGGGTAGGTTGTGTTCAAGCTGATTCTTCCATGTCTACAAGGTTTTGAGGATTCTTTTTTGCTCTTGTTCAGTTGTTTGTTCTGAGTTATTTCTCCACTATTTAGGTGTATTTGCAGATAGATCCTGAGTTGAGTTAATGTGGCTTCTACTTCCTCCTTCACCTTCTTCTGTTGTTATCTGTTGGTGGTTCCTTTGTTGTTGGGTTGCCTCTTCCAGCAGGTATCCTGGTTTCACAGCTTCCACCTACCCTTTTTTGTGATTAATTGGAAGGGGAAGACAAAATGGTTTTAAGACAGCAGGAGTGTATTCTATGATATTTACAGTACCAGCCCATAGAGAAGAGACAAGAAATCCTTTGGATTATGTGTGGTGTTAACCATGATATTTCACCGAACTAGCTACTTTTTAGGAAGGGTGGAAAGAAGATAAGACTTGTTGGGTAGGGAAGGCTTGTGAGTTGGATCTAGAAAGCAGTGGGGTTGTGAGAGGTCAGATTCTGAGGTAAGGGGAGAGTAAAGGATAGTAAATGGGTGTAGTTTGTGAGAGAATAGAGTTAACCACTACAGTAATAGAGTTCAGGGAACTGTGAAGTGGGCTAAGATCTGAGAAGGGTGCATCTGTTTTTTCAGTGTCTTCTACAATTTTTGTTCTCCTATCTTCATATATGCTGGGGTACTGTTGACTGTTCGCTCTGTTCCTCAGTAGATCGACTAGGTGTTTCACCCATACGAAGGGGGAAGTGGACTCCACTCCCACCTATCTTGCTACCATCCCAAAGCTACATTAATTTAACTAGCACTGTATATGTATTTTTCTTAGATTAGTTTCTCCTAATCTTGCACCAGTTATTTCACCATGGAAAACAGTTGAAATCAACCCTTGGCACACTGTGCACTGGG